GTCACATAGTGGAAAATTTTTGTTCATAAGCTATAAAAGATTCCACGTCATGTTTTGAAAATTTGAAAAAGTTTTGAAAATTGGCAACACGGATTTTTATTGATTTTCCGTCGAAGAAAACTGAGTTTTCTTCGACGTTCAGTTTTTCAGTTTTCTTCGACGGTAAATCATTAAAAATCAGTGTTGCCAGTTTTTCAAAACACCAAGTGGAATCTTTTATAGCTTTTGAACAACATTTTTCCACCATCTCAACCAATTTCATCCTAAAGTACTGTATGTGACAATAGTAAGTTTCGAATAAAAATGTTCTTTTACTTCAACCCTTCCAATACGATTCAGAATTTTCAACTAGTTTTTCAGCCAACATAGAGCTCCCATGGAAAACAATTATCTTTAAGCTCGAAGGATCCGTTTTATGGAAAACAACAAGTCCAACGATAGTTTCCTAATATTCATTTTGCTTTATCACGACCCTTCTTGAATCCCTACCCCCCCCCCCATGCTTTTCCAGAATCCCAGAAATTGAAAGCTTCGAGTTCTGTGAATCACGTGAATTTCCAAAATCCCAGAACTCGAACCGTTCGAGTTCTGTGAAAAATCCCAGAAATTGCAACGTTCAATTTCTGTGAATCACGTAAAATTTCCAAATGCCCAGGATTCGAAGCCTTCAATTTCTGTGCAACACGTAACTTTTCGCAAAATTGAAAATCAACAGAAATAATGTAATTAAAACCATATTTTTCATGATTGCGTTGAAATAAAGTATTTCTGGACAAAAACACATCGATTATGACATTTATCAGTAGTTTAGTATTTTCTGTGACGAATTACAGAATTTGGACCATTTTTGTTTATTCCTTCGAGAATTAAAAATTTTGAAAATCGCTACTTCTTATATGTCTAAATTTCAGACCGAGATCTCCACTCTGTCACAAATTATGGACAAAAGCCTGAAACCGAATTTTGGATTTTATAACATCTCTTATTTAGGTCATAACTTTGCACACACAGGAGATTTGATGGTTTTGGTAGCGTTCTATAAAATAAACAACGCATTTCAGGCCAAACCCCCATCTACAGGGGTTCGAGACCTAACAAGATCGAAATGTTTATTACGATTAAAATATAAATGATAACAGCAATCTGTGAAATGTGCATGATTGAAGAGGAGAGCGTGACTTCCATGGAACGACATCTTTGAATTGTTCCAAATGGGGCTTCGAGCAAAAATTTGTTATTGGACAGAGGACTATGAACCAGAGTTGCACGGACAGTCCGTTGTCCGCTGTCCGACCGTTTTTGGCTGTCCGTGTCCGCTGTCCGTGGAAGAAATGTTCTTTTCTATCGTTAAATTTTTTTTTCAGCAAAATCTCATCCATTTTGGAAAGATTTTTCTGGTGTCCAGTGTCCGTAGCCCGTTGTCCGGAAATTTTTGGCTGTCCATTGTCCGCCGAAAAGTTTTTTGTCCGTTGTCCGTGGGAAAAATGTTTTGTCCGGCGCTCAGCGGGGTAGTTTCATATGCTAGAGGAGGATTACTGTAGATTCTAGAAGAAGAAGAAAATGCTAAAGATAAGGATGATAACTCCAGAACCCATAAACAGTGGTGCGACGATAGAACTGATAAAATATTGAAGATTTTATGAAAAACAATTCATCAGTTGACAGATTTTCGATATCTTTCAAATGAATCGAGATAAATAGTCTTAAAGTTAGAATCCAGGAGTACTTCTCAATCCCCTCAAACATATGTGTGAAACGTGTCAAAAATTTGTTTATCTTCAACTACCGTATATCGATTTTTTAATTTTTAATTTGTTTTGAAATTTCAGAAATTTTTAGCAAAAAATCGTCAAAAACTGTTGAAAGAGAGCCGAGTGGTAATTTGTAATGGAAATTACAAAAATAGGCATAAATTTGGCATAAAATATTTAATTTTGATATTTTCTGTCCCATTTATTCTCAGTTTTTGCAGATAAAAAAATGAAATTCCATCTTTATAAATTAGTGCATCATTGGAAGAAAAAAAGTTGCATAAATTAACGGCATAATATCACAAAAGTTAGAAGAAGTGGTAGGAGAAAATGAGAGAAAAAAAAGAAGAATGGGCAAAGAAAAATTGGAAAAAATAGAAATTTGAAAAATGAAGAAAATAAATTAGGAGATGAAAGATTTTTTGGAAAAATGCACAAAATTGTAGTGAGCTTTTTGTCAGAGAGAGAAAGAGTTTTTTGATTTTTTGCTTTTTAGAAAAATCCTATAGCATTTGGAAACAATAAATTAATAAGCCGCTAATTGTTTTTTATAGGAAATTAAGTGAAATTGTAATGGTTTTTTTTTCAACAGGGAAATGAAGTGAATTGAAGTGAAGAGAGGAGAGAACCATTGGATTATCCTTTTTTCTGAAAATGTCGTTTTTCTAATTAGGCTGCTAATTGGTCAATTACCTTTGCACCGGTATCGGCTTTCTTGACAGCTGTGCTTGTTTTACGGGCGTTTGGAGCGGCAGACTGGAAAAATAATAATTTAATTTGATTTTGAAAATTACCGTATTCCCTCTAATAGAAGCCCACCCAACCGTCAACTTTGAGCTCATGTATCTCAATTTCTGTTAAAGATGTTAATATTTTGTCAACTAATAAAATGTTCACCATAATATTACCAATATTTTATTAGTTGTCACATTTTTGATATCTTTTACAGAAACTGGGATATAAAGGCTCAAACTTAAGAGAGGGGCAGACGACCGCTTTGCTCCGGCTAGCGCCGACTTTCCAAATTTGAGCTCACGTATCTCGATTTCTGTCGAAGATATCAAAACGTAGTCAATTAACAAAATGTTTATTATAATATCATAAATATTTTGTTAGTTGACCATTTTTTGATATCTCGTACAGGAACCGAGATAAATAGGCTTGAAGGTGAAAGTTAGAGGGATTCAAACTGCGAGGTGAACCTGCCTACTCGTCTAATGACTCCGGAATCATCTAAATTTTTAAAATCTTATATTATTTTGTATAAAATTATTTGATCTACATCTCATACTTCGGCTCAAAAATTTTAGTTTTGAGAAAAGATACGATCCAAAAAGAGTGGCTACTTGAAACCATCTCTAAACTTGCACTTTGAGCTTAATTATCTTAATTTCTATAAGAGATAACATTAATATGCCAACTAATAACATTTTGGTGATATTATTATAAGCATTTTATCAGTTAACCACTTTTTGGTATCTCTCACAAAAATTGAGATACCGTAATAATAGAAGAGCATCCACACTGTCAATTTTGAGCTCAATTATCTCGGCTTCTATGAAAGGCATCAAAAACATGTCACCTGATAAAATGTTTGTGATATCATGATAAATATTTTATTTGTTAACAATTTTTTTATATCTTCTACAGGAAATGAGATAATTAAGCTCAAACTTGACAGTACTTTCTTTGAAAGTATAGGAATGAGCCGTTTTACCAAGCCAATACAAACTAGAAACGATAAACCAACCTTTCCAACATCACTGGTCTTCTTGGCAAGCGGTTTACCAGCAGCTCCACCTGTTCCAGCGGTACTTTTCTTCGCCACCGGCTTACTAACCGCCGCCGCCGACGCCACTGCCGACGCTAGCGATGTGGCAGGTTGACCAGCAGTTGACCCAGTTTGAGATGATTGTCGAATTGGTGCAGATTTTCGAATCATTTGTTGAGTGTCCGAAAATGCGACACCTTTTCGCATTGGCTCTGTTGGTTGTGATGGGAGGAGGTTGTTGAGAGGTGTTGGTTGTAGGAAATTCGATGGGACCAAACCACGTAGACCGTTTAGTTCGCCCATGTAGAAGCCGTCCTCATCCATGTCACCGTACACAGTGATGACGTCACCTTGTCGGAATGAGAGCTCCACCTGGAATAGTGACAAAGGGTTTTTCGATCTACAGTACTGATCAATAATATACCGTGAACACTTTAACAGAAAAACACCTAAACCGTTAACTTTGAGCTCAATTATCTCAGTTCCTGTGAGAGATATCAAAAATGTGTCAACTAAAAAATATATCATAATAAACATTTTATCAGTTGACAGATTTTTGATATCTTTCACAGGAGCTGAGATATGCGGGCTCAAAGTTAAGAGATCGGCAGACGACCGCGTAGCTTAGGCAGCAAGCGCCGACTGACCAACTTTGAGCTAACTTATCTCGGTTTCTGTGAAAGATATCAAAAAACAGTCAACTAGTAAAATATTATTGATATTATGATAAATATTTTATCAATTGTCACTTCTTTTGATATCTTGCATAATAATCGAGAAATTGAGCTCAAACTTGACAGTTTCGGGTCCTTTCTATTCCAGGTTTTACGGTATATTTCAAAATAGATCCTACCTGCTCCGCATCCACATTCGGACTCAACTGCCTCGAATCGTAGTCAAACTTGGCTATCATCCTTGCCATCTTCTGCCCACCAGCTGTCATTCCTCCATTCTGATATTCCCCAATAGCACCGCCCATCTGAATTCCAGCTCCACCCATTCCTCCGATTCCACTTGAGCTTGGAATTCCAATTGGGACTTGTTGTCCCGCCTGATTCATATGCAGTTGTCCCATTTGATGTGTCATTTGGGACATTTGCTGTTGTTGTTGCTGCTGTTGTTGATTCGATGGCCCAGGTTGTTGATCGTACCTCGATGGTGGATAGTCATAGTTGTTTTGCGGAGGCGGAGCTTGAGATTGTTGTTGCTCATCCATCCTAGGCCGTTCTCTGTACTTGTCGCCTCTGGCGTATGGGTCGTACGGTGGATACCTATCGTCGGTTTGTCGTCGATCCATTGGATGTCTTCTGGCGTCTAGCGATCTGTCCATTCTATCATATCCACGGTCTCCACGATCCACCCTATCTCGGTCCAATCGGTCACGGTCCAGCCTGTCACGGTCTATTCTATCACGGTCTAGACGATCTCGATCTATCCGATCGCCTAGTCGACCTTCCCGATCCATCCTCCTATCTCTGTCCCTGTCCCTATACCCCTCATCATCATACACATCATCTCTTGCATCTATGACTGGTTGACGCCTTCTGTATGGAGCATCTTCTCGTTCTGGCAGCCTTCTGTACTCATAGGAACTGATGGCCCCTTGTCTTCGATACCTTCCACCATCCCTATCTCGGTCTCGATCATCGCGACGGTCCAGAGAGATGTAGTTGGGGTGGTGGGGTCTGAAATGCTGCTTTTGATTAGTTTTCGAGCCTAAATCTAAAATTTTACCTGTGTTGTGGTCCACGATTCTCTCCTGCATAGTCATAACTTCTTGATTTGAGACTTCCCCATCGCTGTCGTCTCAATGCAGGTTCCGGTTGTGTTGGTGGTGGTGGCGCCGGTGCTCCGGTCGTCCGTCGTTTCCCAATATCATCAGAAGCAATCTCAATAACCATATTCGACGGCACCAATCCAATACGATTGCCAATTTGTCCATGATAGAAGCCATCCACATCCTGCGGCCCGTAGACTTTGATCAGCTGATGCTTCCTGAATTGCAGCTCCTCGAACTCGGCATTCGGATTCGGCGACATGGCCGCCGTGTAGTCGAAAAGAGCAACAAACCATCTGCACTCGTCGGAATCCAAAGTAGGAGGACGGAGATCGGGTTCACTTCGAGTTCCAAACCCACTTTCAGATTTTACCCGCTGCAGACGCGGTTGCATGAGACGTTGTTGAAGTGTCTGCGACATTGGGTGACGCGTCCCCAGTGGACCGCCCACCACCACCGAACCACCATAGTGCATTCGCTCGTCGGCTGAGCCAGCACGATTCAAGCCTCGAGAGTACGCTTCGATGCGAGCCCGCGCGTCTCGAGACTCGGGAGCGTTGGCCCAGTCGGCGGCTTGACGATGGCGCATGAGATAGCTGAAAGTTAAAGAAGCATTAGGATAGTGCTATAGACTCGGGGTTGTTTTTGATTTTAATGCTAAATTCAATAAAAATGGGGATTCTAACAGCTTTCAGAGCCTTAAAAGTGTCGAGTTACCGTATATGCTCTAATAGAAGGCTGTCCAGACCGCCAACATTGAGCCCATACATCTCAGTTCCTGTAACAAATATCAAAAAATAGTCAACTGATCAAACATTTTTCACATTATGATAATAGTTCAATTAGTTGACAACTTTTTGATATCTTTCACAAGAGCTGAGATATGCGGACTCAAAGTTACGGGGTCGGCAGGCGACCGCGTAGCTCAGACTGCAAGCGCCGACTGATTAACTTTGAATTCAATTATCTCGGTTTTTGTGAGAGGTATCAAAGCTGTCAACTGATAAAGTATTATTCAGATCATGATAAACGTTTTATTAGTTAACAACTTTTTGATATCTCTTATAGGAAATGAGATATATTAGCTGAAATTTAGTGGTTTGGATGGACTCTGAAAAATACGGTATTTTAATGTAAGTACCGGATTTCAAAGCCAAAAACTCATGTATATTTTTTAAAGAACGAAAAAGCAAGAAAAATTCCTAGCTGACTAAAATAACACATTCTATTGGCATTTGCTTTTTCCCCCAAATGACGATAGAATGCGAAAAACGGGACAATTAGCCAAATCGTGGGGTAGCAGCAGCACAATAATTACTCGTTTTCTTTAAGTGCCTATCCATTGCATCAACAATTCCTTCTTCTAGAAGGAATTTCTAGAATTCTAATTTTTGTTATTTTGATTCAGAGAAAGAAGTAAAAGCTAGGGATCCTCTGAATCTTAAACATCATAGTTTTACAGCTGATTCTACTGTAAAACCTGTAAGAAGAAGAATCCCCACACTATCAAGTTTGAGCTCAATTATCTCGGCTCCTGTAAGAGATATCAAAAATGTGTCAACTGATAAAATGGTTGCGATATTATGATTAAAAATTTATCAGTTGACAACTTTATCATATCTTTGACAAGAATCGAGATCATTGAGCTCAAAATTGAAAGTTAGGGGGCCAATAGGGAAAAAAACCCAACCTGTTCTCCATCTCCAACACCGACGGCCGTGGTTCGTCTGCACCGGATGGTTCGGTGTGCAGAAAGTTCGGATGGAACGTGTAGTACTGCGACATTTGATTGGTTGCCGGTTTTGTTGGCTGCTGCCACGTGGATTGCTGGAATGGCGGATGAGAATGGGACAGACAATGGACGGAAATCAGGGTTTTGTGGTTGGGGACTGGGTTAGGAGGAACGTGGACGTTTGAAAATGCTGTTGTGACATGGAAAGCGGCTAGGGTGCTATGTTTAGACTTCCTGAACAAAGATTTAACCGGTGCGTTACGGTACCGTAAACCGGTAGAAGAGATTTCTTATCTTTGAGCCAATTTATCTCGGTTCTTTTCAAAAATACAAAAAAAGTGACCAACTAACAAAATGTTCAACATAATATCAAACAAATTTCATTTGTTCACACATTTTTGATATCTCTCTCACTATCAGGAACCGAGATAAATTTGGTCAAAATATAAAGGGACAGGTTTTACAGTATTTTACTGATTTCAGAGGAAATAAAAAAAAAAACATTGAGAACTTCTGTTTCAAAGTTGAGGCCCTGCAAATTCCGACGAAAACATTTCCGGGAAAAAAGTTTCATGGGAAAAAAGGGCGGAGCCGAAATTGCACTCCTGACTCCGCCCACTTTTTCAGAATTTCCTCGGAATTGGCGGGGCAGTTTAGTATGGTAAAATGGAAATATAGTCCAAAATTCTTAGCCGTAACCCAAATTGGGAGCAATGAAAGATTAACAAAGTTTAGATTCATATTCAGGAAGTCCGATAAAATTCAGTATTTGATTGAAATACCGAAAATGGCTTTGGAGGGTACAAAATTTTGGGGTCATTGGGGTACAAAACGATTCAAGGGTACACCACGATTCGGAAGTTCAAAACACCTGAAAAATCGAACTTGGTACCCCCCGAATCACTTTGTACCCCCTTGTCCCAAAGGCACAAAGCTCCCACATCAAAAAAACCAAGGAATCGCCCCTAACACACAAAGCCCAATTTGTCCAACTCATGATCTTACCACAGTTTGTCCAACCGATGATGGTCTCGGTGCGCTACCTCCAGCGAGAAGAATCGATGATGGTTGTGCGCCGAGGGATGCCGACCTGCAACATATATACATTTGAAAAAAGAAAGGAAACGAAGAAGAGATTGCGGAGGGCAGATTGCTCCTACTCCCTTTTCTTGCTAGCTCCCTCCCCCGTTTTTGGGGAAGCGAGAAAAAAGGAAAGGAAAGGAAGGGTTAACCGAATATTGAGAGACTTGCAACGAAGAAGCACAGACATATCAGATTCGCTGCTGACGCTCCGTAAGGCATTTATCTTCTTTTTCCGGCGCCGGACATTCGCCCCTGGACGCTGTAGAGCTCGCGCGCGCGCGAACATCTTTTATTTATGAGGAAATGGAGAAAAAAAATGAGACAATTGTGTGCCCTTTTTTTAGGTTGAACCTAGATAAGAAGTCTAGATGAAGCCTTCATAGTCATCCATGGATAGGAAAGGTTCAGAGAACCAAGAGCAAGATTGGACAAGAGCTTGGGCACCTTGCCTATAAAAGGGGAACGTATGGATTGGGTCATCTCGACTTAGGCAGCTAGCTAATGGCTCAAGCGAAACGTTATGATGGTTTTTTGGAACAGGCTGGGCAATATCAGGCTGGTGGCATAGCCTACATGCTACAAGGCTCACCATACATCCTACCGTAACCACTCTAATGGAATACCACCCGGAGCGTTAACTTTGAGCTCATATATCTCATTTCCTGTTGAATATATCAAGAAGCAATCAACGGATAAAACATTCACCATAATTTCAAAAATAGTTTGTCAGTTGACCAATTTTCAATGTCTTTTACAGGAACCGAGATATAAGAGCTCAAATTGACAGGTTGGGTGGCACTCTATTTGACACTCTACGTTATTTGAAACATGCAATATCAGGCTCTCAGCTGACCGGTCCGGAAGTTCTAAGTTTTATTTTCAATAGAACCTTCAAAATGTGTTTCAATTGAACCCATATACCATATAGGCACAATAGCTTTAAACCACCTAACCTCTGATTCTTTGGAATAAACGCTCACCTATCAAAAGTGGCATATCCTCCACTCTGCACATTGGGAGCACTTGCAGGAGCCGACTGTTGCATGGATGCTTGCACATTTGGATACGATGTCTGTTGGTAGCTCATCAATCCCGTCGCACCAACCATCCGCGCCGGAGCCGTTGATGGAGCAGAGTACGGACCAGTGGCGGCTTGATGAGTGACATGTCCGTTTGCCAAAGGTGGATGTGCATTGGTCAGGGTGCCCGTTGAGCCAATTGGCATGTAGATGGCTGGAATTGTAGAGTGTGTTTTTTTGTCAGTTAAATTTGACCTACTTCTCCCGCGAAAGTTTGAATAGTATAGCATTTTTTCAGAGCTCTGGGATCTAGAAGACGTGAAAAACCGCGAATGAAAAATTGTGGGCTTATGGGAAGCTGAGAAGAGGAGAGGGCGGTGCGTGGGAAAAGCTAACGAGCCTGTTATTCATATCTATCTCAAATTTTCGCACAATATATCGTGGCTCATATTTTAAGAAATCGGAGAAAGAATTACTAATTAGAAAAAGCGAAGCTTTTTAAGGCTTAAATAAGATCGGGCTCTGCGCCTTGAGCTTCTGTTGGATATAGGACCTTCTTTCATGATAAACATGAGAACTATGCGCCTTTAAACACTAAACTCAAAAATTTAAAAAAAAAACTCACAATTAGCGACACTCTGTTGTTGCTGTTGATGATATGAAGGATACGATGAGGTCATGTCCACCAATGGTAGTCCACTTGTAGGATCAACGGTTCCTATCAGCTGTTGCTGTTGGGTTGTACTCGGTACCACTACTCCTTGTGTACGTGGCACTCGTGCCACGTTAGAGTCTGATGACACAGCGCCTTCTTTTGTCTTCGTTCGAACTGTGATGAAGATCGGCGGGTCGTCGGAGAGATCGGACAGGCGGAGGACAACGTGGTCGGCTGGAAAGGTGTAGTTGTTGAAAAATGTGTGTTTTGTTTCAATGAACTCGTCGTGGGAACTTTAGTTTTTTTTTGCAAAATCTGAAGTAGTGATATGCTTTGAAAATGCAAAAAAAATTTATTTCATAAAATGGCAAAAATACCCTGTTCTCTTCCCGAGCTTCTGAATTCAAAAGGGCCCCTAACTTTGAGCCAATGTAAATGTGTTCCTGTAAGAGATGTCAAAAAGTTCTCAAATAACAACATTTTTTTGATAATGTGATAAACAGTTTGTCAGTTGACCATTTTTCGATATATTTTACAGAAGATGAGAAATATAAGCTCAAAGTTAAAAAGTCGGTAGGCGACCGCGTAGTACAGCCGGCAAGCGCTGACTTTTCAACTTTGAACTCAATTATCTCGACTCCTGTGAAAGATATCAAAAATTTTTCAACTGATAAAATATTGCTGATAATACGATAAATGGTTTATCAGTTGACAACTTTTTCATATCTTCGACAGACGCCGAGATAAATTGGCTTAAAGTTAGGTAGGGTGCTTTAGCGCTAAGGTAGGGGGGGGGGGCACATTTTTCAAATTTGGCGCAATTTTCCGGATGTCTCAGCGGAAGGAAAACAATGTCTTTTAGCCAAAGTTTTCAATTTTAAACAAAAAAAACATCTGCAAAAAATTCCAGTCAAAAATTCAAAAAAATTGGGAAACCTCAAACTCAAAACTATTCAAATGTTATATCAATTTGTAGCCCATGATCAACTTCTTCAAATCAAAACTACCGTACCTGTAGCCTGTGGCACCTGAGCAATATTCTTTCCGTCGGCGTAGATCAAGTAGGAGTGTACGGCAGCGCGGGATGGAGGTTTCGGTTGATTGGAGACGGGTTGCCACGAGACTAGAAGTGTACCCGGTTGGGGTCCGATTTCCACTTGAACGTGTGTAGGTGGGTCAGGTAAACCGACTGAAAAGAAAACATTTTTATAGGAGGAGTGTGTGTAGTTTGGAGCATGAACAAATTGCAATATATATTTTAGGATCGGAAGGCCAAAACTAATAAAGCCCAATTATTCCAATTTCTGTGAAAGGTTTCAAAAAGTGGTCAACTGACAAAATGTTTATCATAATACATAATATCAAAAACATTTTATCATGTAAAAAGTGGTTGATATCTTTCACAGGAAGAACATCAGGGTGGACCTCAATTAGGGAAAGGGCTTCAATTAGATGGTTTTTAGATTTTGCCTTATCAGGAATATTTAAAAAACGACACGAATCAACAAAAAACACAAGAAATTTCAGAAAAAAAGACCTAGAATGCAAACTGCACTGTCAGTATGGTCTTCAATTAGAGAAAATATGATAATTCTATACTTGCTTCTTCAAGCTTAATTATCTCAACTTCTGTGAGAGTTATCAAAAGTTCGCAAACTATAAAATGTTGGTGATTTTTAGATAAACATTTTATCAGTTAACATATTTTGAATAGCTTTCATATGAGCCGATATTAAATGACTCAAAAATAAAAAGTCGCAGATTGCCAGCTGAGCTACGCCTCCGCCTGCCAACCTCTCAACTTCGAGCCAATTTAACTCAGTTCTCTAAAGAGATATCAGAAAGTTGTCAACTAAAAAACTATTTATCATATTCTGAGATACGCGGTCGCCTGCCACTTCTTAACGTTGAGCCTTATCATCTCGAGTTTTGCACGTGATATTAAAAAGCTGTCAACTGATAAAATGTTAAGTATAACTTCAAAAACAATTTACCGTAAAACCTCTAATAGAACGACACGCTTCAGGAAATTCNATATTTCAGAAATACAAAAATTCAAAATAAAGGAGGAATCCATATTTCAGAAACCCGAGAAAAATCGCAGATTAAGACTTTTTTTTTCATTTTCTTGAATTCGAAGGAATTTTTCTAAACAGGTGTGAAATTCTTGAGAAAAAAAACGTATTTCGAGATTTCTGTAAAAAGAACATTCTAGAACATTCTGGGGTTTTGGAAATTCCGAATTTCTTGGAACTTCTGAAGT